GCGTACCATCCAGTCAGATGACAATGTTCTCTTACTTTTTTATCAACTAAACCAAAGGGATAGTTACATATATGACATAAAGAAACTTGATCATACCTGACCTTTTGTTATTAAATTAATCATCTCGATAGGATTTTTACAGAATTTTTCCAGTTTCAAAGTGAGAAGGTAAAGAATATTGACAAACCTTTGAGCAGGTGTCTCGTTATTATTTTTATTGTTTTATCTATAATTTTTATATTCTGATTTCCTATCATCATATCTGCAGTTGATAAAACATCCAATACTATTCGCTACATGATGGTGGTACGCACGTTTATTTTTTCAACAGATTCCATAAACATTCAATGTCCACATAAACAACAAAAGGTACTCAGTTCTTGTATGTGAAATTTTCGAATTAAAATATATGCTTATTCTCTTTTTTTTTAGGTAAAATAATTTTGCAACTATTCATATTTTTGCAATCTTCTTCATGTGCTTTCAATTTATCTTTAGACCAAAAGTAGTGAATATAATGTTATTTATGCTCGGTGTTTAAATAGTCCTCCGTATTGGTTTTATCATCGTCCTTCTCATCATTAATATAAAAACTTTTCACTAATAAAAGGTTAACATGATTTTCTTTTTTGATTTCTGATAAATGACTAGGACAAACATTAGAAGTATAACCTTTCTTTTCTAAAAAATATAATTTAACCAAAATATCATCTTGTTTTCAAATTTAGAAATTTTTTAAGGGGCAACTGGGAACTCAATATTGTTAAAGTTCAACTCGTTTTTGTATCTTCTATGATTTGAGACACGATTTGCATTTTTATTTACCAGATGCAATGCTGATAAGAAAGCCCATCTGAAGTATTGATTGTCCGTGTTAACAACACTTACACAAACATTTTTTAATTTAATGTAGTCTGGTAAGTCTGTGAATAAGCTACATTTCGTAGGATTTAATTTATTGATGTTGTTGACTCAATTTAATATTTAACATAAAAACAAGCTAGTTTGCTTAATTGATTGTTGCACATTCTTATCAAATCAGTTGTCTAAATCAGTTGTTTGATAGATGGATTTTGACTTTGACGAATTTCATATCTGTATCTTCAATGTTACCTTTGACTGTAAGGTTTAACATATTCAGATGACAACACTGTGTTAACTTTTAGTGCTTCATGTTCGCTAAGAGATCATTGTATTTGGTTAAAAAACTGCTTCTTTGTGTATTTAAACAAATTTCTCAAATCTAAATGTTTTAACTTAACAATCAATACTGTCATCATTCGTCTTTCGAAAGCACTGTCAACATCTTCAAGACTTACTGTTTCATTGTTCTCAGCAACTGAAAGTGTTGTTGATGATACTACTGCTGCTGTGGATGCCCCTGGAGCTATACCTACACCATAAACGTATTTTGCTAAGTTATTTTCAAATTTGCTCGTTGACGCGTTTTTTATACTATTTTGCGGTACAAACACTTTGCGTTTATTTTGAAACGCTGTAACTGCTGCTTCAACTTCATGACCACTGTCTGATACAAAAATTTCAGACTCACTGGTAAATATTTTTGCTACTTCCGCTATTTCTAAGCGATCGTAAGGTAACTATATAAAAACTTTTAGTAAAACTGAAGCTAATTAAAATTTTTGCATTTCAGATGTTGTTAAATCATTTTTTTTTTTTAAATACTATCCTTAAGAACCGTCAGACTGGTAACTAATTAAATTTGAAAATAAGTAACATCATTTCTATTGAGAGTTTGTTGATATGTTTGCCACAGGCGGTAAGCCTCATCTCTAAAATGATGTGTGGTAGATATAGCTTACTCAAAACTGTAAGTTTACTTGTGTACAGATTACATAAAAATAAGTTGTTTAAGCAGCTTGAATCTTATTATAACACGAATTTTAGAAAAAAGTAAACATATGGGGGAGAGGGAAGATTTACAGTTGTTTGTATACAACTCATCACAAAATTAAGCAGTCAAAGCTAATTTTTTTTTTTTAACTCACTTCACAATTTACAAGATTTATATTGACGTATATTCAATTTTAAGGATTAATACCATCACTACTGTCACTACTACAACTACTGCAGCTACGACAATTACTACAACTGCTACAACTACTACTACTACTACTACTCCCGGGTGGGGTTTTCGCTAGTTTCTCCATACCGGGCGCTTTCCCGGGTGGCGGATAGGGGCATCCTCTTAAAACATGAGGTGACGATGGGCAGCTGGGGTGGCTCTCTGTAGTGGTGGTCGAAGGCGTGGATCGGGGGGCGTGTGTGGCGTTGGCGTGTGTATCTGCGGCGATGTGGACGGGGGACTAGTGCCCCATGTCTCCATCGGTGTGGATGCATAGGCCGGCTCTGCTTGTACTCCTTGTTCTTCGCTTTTTGCTGCTGCCGTAGGTGGCACTCCATTGCTTGATGCGGGCCAACAAAAACTAGCACCTGTCGTGTATAGAAGTAAGTGGCGGTTAAAACATTCTTCTCAGATACATGCATCACACACTCTCACTAAACAAACACAGGGACACTTACGGATTGTTCTGGGTTGCGTGTGGCGGGTCCTTTTCCGGGCTTGCGTTGGAGGCCTGGCGGTGGGTGAAGCCGGATGATAAGGCCCTGGTAAGTCTAGGTAACCACATCTGATATGGCTGTATGCCTCATAAACAAAAAAAAGTGGTGGGCCGACTAATCTAGGCTTACTACCACTGAGAAAGCTAAATAGCAGCACCTTAGTGCCTTACGCCAGCCCGTCTTGTTGGGTTGTCTGCGTGGTCGTGGGACTGTAAACCTGCCGCTCGTCTCGCTGAGATGACCATTGTGTACCAACACATACATACAATTCACACGAACACCATTCTTACACTTGTTACTCAACGCCAGGGCAGTCTCCGTGGGTGGGACTGAGGGAGAGTGGCGACTTCCGACCGGCCCGAGCAAGTAGCGGTGTTCTCTGGTAACAGAGAGGGCTGCTGCCCCGGTTTTAACCCTTACCAAATACTTATTTGTTGAAAAAAGGGTAGTGCTGGCCTTTGCGGGTCAGTACGATATTAAAAAAGATGCCAATATAAAAAACGTCGATACAAAACCTGTACCCCAGGTGGTAACCTCTCTGAGGGAATCCACTGGCAGTTCTGATCCGGTAAAAGCCCAGGTGACTGACGCAGGCCCCACGGACTCTGAGGGGGGCCACAAAGACATGTCTCATGGCCAACAAGGACTACTAAATGTTCCATGGCCTTTTCTTGAAGACAAAGGACGAAGAGGAAGCCTGGCGAGTATAGGCACTAACGACACAAAGGTTAGCAACGTGTCGGTATTTAGCCACCAGACCCTGGAAGAGCTTGCCTCTTTAGAACAAAGTGTCACTAGGCTCGGAGTAAAGCGACAGCAAGTTGTTAGTAAAGTCCAATCAGCAACGAATGACATTACAGAGACGCTACAAATAATTAACGATAAGTACGGCAACACAGTGAACGCTGTTAAAAATGGGCTCAAAGCAGCGCTTAAGCATCTTCAAGAGGCAGAGGTGCTAAGAAAAGGCTGCCTTACTGAAGAAGATTTGTATACCAACGCTTGAAAGTCGTCATTTGAATCCTTGCAATGGAGGGAAAAAAGACGAGATAATTTCCAACGGCATGCACAGAAACGAACCCTGAACACCGCCTTAAAGGAAATAGAAGGAAGTATAAGAAACAGGAGCCCACCGGACAGCCCTGAGAAACGCCAGCAGACTATGTCTTCAAAGAAAAAAAAACAGACAGTGGCAAACAAGAAGAAATTCCACTTAATGACAAAACAAGCCGGAAGAAAAAAGTGGACGCCACAACAACAGTAGTTGTGAAGATGGCTGAAGGACAGACCTTTGCAACGGTGCTGAAGACTATGAAGGCGAACATTGACCCCGATTAGGCTAAAGTGGCAGTCCAAAGTGTTTTCACTACAAAAAAAGGAGACATACTTATTAAGGCCAAAGGTGTAGAGAATGCTACTGCATTCTCACAGTAAATTAAAAAGTTGGTAGCCGGACAGGGTACTGTCAAAATGAGCGACAGAAAAGTGACATTAGAGGTCTGAGACCTAGATGCCATTGTAGAGGAAGATGAGGTCAAAGAGGCTTTCGTTAGGACTTTTGGATATCAGAGCCAGGAGCCAGAGGTTGCTCTCTTTAAGCCAAATGCCAGAGGACAGAGGCTGGCTTTAATAATGGTGGACGAAGCATCTGCCAGACAAGTAGAAAAGGAAGGCAGGTTACGGGTTGGCTTCATAAGCTGCCAAATTCGAAGAAGAATTGAAGTAACAAGATGTTACAAATGCCTGGGATATAGACACGTCTCAGGCAACCGTAAGAACGAAAACAGATCCAAGCTTTGCTTCCAGTGTGGAAGCTCAAACCACCGGATGAAAGAGTGTCCAGGCCCAGCACGGTGCTTCCTTTGCCCAACAACGGACAACAAGCACGAAGCAGGCAGCAGGAGCTGCTGTTTATTCAGACGAGCCCTGAAAGAGGCCAGGGATAAGACCCTAACAGGATCAAAATAAGGCAAGAAGGCCTTGAGTTGAAAGACAGGCTTATGTGGACCCATGCTCCGCTGGGTACTTTTTACCTATCAGCAAGGGAAAGCATTAAGCTTATAGTGGTGCTGGCTAAGTAGGCGGCCTACTATTAAGTGCTAGACAAGGTGTTGGTCCTCAGAAACCCCGAGTCCTTTTCAGGACTCGAGAGCATGAGCACCTCTAGCAAATGGTGGCGAGTTAGCTCGTTGATGCTGTGAGACGCGATGGTCTCCCTGGTGGCTCCACCCTGAAGTAATGCTAACGCGATTCCAGGGTGGATTGAAGGCCACGCGGCATGGGGGGGGCGTTTTAGTGGGTATGGGTGGTCTAATAAAAAAATCCACCGAGTTTCACACTGCTGCTGTCCCTGTGGTGAGCCTCAATGCATTTCCACTCCCTCCACAAAAAAAAAAAAAACTACCACTACTACTCACCCTTTAGGGGCTGCAAGACCTTGTCGCTGGTGAGGGTGCCATGCTTGAGATGGGGTGACTCTGAAGATATAGAAGAGGTAGACAGGAGACTAAAAAATAGGCTCTAAAAAAATAGTCATTTGTCTGAATGTGCGAGGGACTGGGTTTTTCTGAAAACAAAAGAAAAAACAAGAAAATGGAAACTTTAAAAAATAAATGAGAGTATAAGTGGTGTATGCGTGACGGGACTAGAGCTTTAAGAGAGCTGTCTGGATTCCTAGATGAAAACCAGCCGACTTGGAGGGCTGGCAGGGGCTGATTCCCCGTCCAAGCCACTAAAAATCAGCCTGCTGTCTTGGGATGGCGGTAAGCTTGACAGGTATCAACCAATCCCCACCCTGTTGTGTATAGAAGTAAGCGGCGGTTATAACATTCTTCTCAGGTACATGCATCACACTCACACTAAGCAAACACAGGTATACTAAATGGTCGTTCTGGTTTGCGTGCGTTGGGGTCTTTTCCTGACTGGCGTGGGGAGCCTGACGGTGGGTGAGGCTGAACGATGAGGCTCAGGTTAGTCTGGGTAACCACATCTGATATGACTGCACACCTCATGAGCAAAAAAACGTGGTGGGCTGACTAATCTAGGCTTGCTACCACTGAGGAGGCTACATAACGGCATGCCAATTCGTTTTGGCAGGTTGTCTGTGCCGCTCGTGAGATTGTATACCTGGTGTATGTCTCACTGGGTTGACTGTGGTTTACAAACATATTCACACACTACACACATACACCACTTTTACACTTACTCTACGCAACTCTAGAGCAGTCTTCGCGGGTGGGACTGAGGGAAAGTGGCGACTCCCAGCTGGCCCAAGCAAGTAGCAGCTCTCTCTGGTAACAGAGAGAGCCACTGCCCTGGTTTTAACCCTTTTAAAATACTCATTTCTAGAAGAAAGGGTAGTGCTGGCCTTTGCGGGTCAGTACGACATTCAAAAAGATGACAACATGAAAAACGTCGACGCAAAACTTGTACGCCAGGTGGTAACCTCTCTGAGGGAATCCGCCGGCAGTTCCGATCCGGTGAAAGCCCGAGCGACTGTCGCAGGCCCCACGGATTCTGGGGGGGGGGGCACAAAGACGTTCTCATGGCCATTAGGGACTGCTTAATGTTTCATGGCCCTTTGTCACGGACAAAGGATGAAGAGGAAGCCTGTTGAGTATAGGCACTAATGACACCGAGGACAGCAACGTGTCGGTATTTAGCAATCTGACCCAGGAGGAGCTTGCCTTTCTAGAAAAAGAAGGTGCTAAGCTTAGATTGGAGCGACAGCAAGTGACTAATAAAGTACAATCAGCAACAAAAGATATTACAAAGACGTTTCAAGCAATTATTGATGTATGGCAGCACAGCAAACGCTGTTAAAAATGGGCTCAAAGCCGCGCTCGAACATCTTGAAGAGGCAGAGGTGATAAAAAAGGCTTTTTTTTAAGAGAAAGTGTTCACAAACTCTTGGAAGGCATTATTTAAATCCCTGAAGTGCCGGGAACAAAGGCAAGATAATTTTCGACGGCATGTTCATAAAAAAAATCCTGAACACTGCCCTAAAGGAAATAGAACGAAGTAAAAGAAACAGGAGCTCATGGGACAGCCCTGAAAAACACCAGGAAACCTTGTCTTTGAAAAAAAGGCATGAAATCCTTTTCCGGACTTGATAGCATCAGCACTTCTAGCAAATGGTGGCGTGTTAGCTCGTTAATGCTGTGAGACGCGATGGTCTTCCTGGTGGCTCCACCCTGAAGTAATGCTAACGGGGTTCCGGGGTGGATCAAAAGCCTCGCGGAATAGGGGGGGGTTTAGTGGGTATGGGTAGTCTAATAAAAAAAATCCACCAAGTTCCACACTACCACTGTTCCTACGGTGTGCCTCAATGAATTTCTCCTCCCTCCAAAAAAAAAAAAAAAAAATTAATACTACTGCTACTGCTGCTGCTACTGCTGCTCCTGCTGCTACTTCATTTTCTTCGGCTTGATTTTTAAAAAAAAAAAAAAAAAAAAATTAATACTACTGCTACTGCTGCTGCTACTGCTGCTCCTGCTGCTACTTCATTTTCTTCGGCTTGATTTTTAACAAGTTGAAGAATTTAACCTTATGACATTTTTTTTTTTTCTTACAAAAATTATCTTAGGAGTTATTTTAATCGGTCGTATTCGACTTGTTTTTTTTTGCAGTTTAAGTGCAACTTCGTTGCTTGAGCTTTTTCATATTCTCTCTTTGTTTTTCTTTAGCCGTTGTATTTGTCTTTTTCAGCCAGGCTTCCTTTTTTAAAATTTTCTCACAATCTTTCATTTATTTGTTGATGATCTTTTTTTTCGTTCGATTACCTTAGACCTTTGATTTTGAAGAGCTGTCTCCACCTTAAGGGTTAAAGTATCTTGATCTTCGTCGGTCCATTCTTGTTAATTATTCGTTAGAAGCTTGTTATCTAACGATACCACCATTGCTGAAACCAGCAGAGGAGCTTTATACTGTGGTGTAAACAGTAGTTGTTCACTAAATAATAAAATGAATTTTTTTATGTTAAATAAAATTAATGTCTCAACTTTTTCTTCATAGTTATAGTATTGAAACTTTCTACTTACCGAAGTATATCTTTTTATTCTCTTACTATATTTATTATACTTAGTGTAAGTGTTGGAATGTTTTCCCAATCGGCTGCTACTACTGCTGCTATTAGCACTGTTTGATTCAGCGTAGGTGGGACGTTTTCTTCTTCTTCTTCTTTTTTTTATTGGTTCTGGCGCTGTTGGAAAACTCTAATTTTGCTCCATCCACAACGAAACTGACGATGATAATTCTGTTATTGGTGATTCAACAGCCAATGTTTTATCTACCCATGCAGTTTCACATGCTGTTAGAAAGTTTTTTGCTTGTAAAAAAGAAACAAAATATTTATTAAGAAAATTAGCTATAAAATGTGAAGATTCAATATAAAATACTATTATTTTTTTCTCCAAAAAAATCTGCTGTGAGTACTACATCTTGAGCAATATCTCCAAGAGGATTCACAGCTTTCACTAAGGCTGCTACTACAACATCTGCTAAGGGATCCTCCACATGCAACTCATGACCCATAGGGTCCGTAATCGCCGACTTTTCTTCATATTGCCTTGCAAAAGTATTTAACGCACGGTGAAAAAGCCGTTTGTTATACCTTCGAATGTTACCACTTGCTGATTTATTTTTTATGGGGTAAAAAAATATTACGTCCATAAAAAACAAAATCATTTTCAGTTACAGATTTTTTAAAATTTTTATTAAGAGAAAGAAAATAAAAAAACTCTTTTTATTTTTTCTTCGGACGAAGCGTTAGAACAGATTTTTACTATCATTTCTGCAGTAAAAGCGTTATTTAAAAAAAAGGTAAAAAATTGAAAGAACTCTCAACATCATTACTGTGAAGACAGTTGAAATATTACTTTTGCTAATATTTCTGCGTCTAAAGTGATAGATAAGATAAAAAAAGTAATATAATCATGGGGGTGAGGAAGAACAAAGTTAGATAAATTATGAAATAAAAGTACCTTATTTTGTTTAAGGATGATTCTTGGTCATGTGAGTGCTGCCCTAACTTGTTGGTTTCTTGCGTGACTCACTAGCCATGATTTTAAATTAAGGGTAATAGTAGCCCTTCAATCTTTTGAAACGTGCATTCAAATGTATAGGATGGTGGGCAAGGACATATGTTATTTTTGATTGGCTATTTGAAAATTTGAAAAACCTACAGTAAAAGGAAGAATTCATTTATGCGGAAAATTACCTGTATGCATTAGACCAAGGGAGAGGATTTTTGGGTAAACCATAGGTACAAAATATACTTTCGCATGCTTTGCACATATTTGAAAGATGGGGACTGTAGGATAGGGTGTTGCATTGCATCTTTTTTTAATACTGCTGTTTTCGTATTGCACTTGTATCCTTTCCTAACGCAGCTCCGTTCATTTTATATCAGAGTAGTTGCTCTAAGGTTATGAAAAGCTGAGTACCTCTTTGATGTCCATCATTCAGAAACAGACCTCTGAATCATTCAATTAGACATTAACATTGTAATGTCGAGAACGCGACCAGTTTATAAGACCAATGAGATTGAACTCAATGAGAATTAATAGTTCTGAAATTCTTAAACGAGGTACCACCTGGTGTTGTTAATATTTTAAAAGAAATTTTTTCCAGGGCAACTGATAGACAAAGATTTTTGAGATAAATTGATACTTTCATCAGCTTACGATGAAAATTCAGCAGTTAATGGTTAGTTTCTTTTATACTTTAAACATTTAGCATTCTTATTCGTTTATTTTCATTATTGAAGTTCAAGAATCACCAACCTCTCCACACAAGGAGAGCTTCGATATTCTTTAAGCAGAACGAGTTGCTGGGCAAATGGATCCTCTTGATCTGTCGGTTATAATACAGCCAGCAGAAACCGCATCTAACATTGGCAATTTGGGGGGATTTATATTTAAAGGTGAGTTTAATTACTATTCTTATTTTCTCTAGTCTTCTTTAAACGTTTATCCTTATTTTTTTTTTGTTCTTTTGTTCAACATCAAATTAGTATTACAAAACATTAACTATATAGAATTTCTATATTCGCACGCTAGCAATTAACTTTAGTATTTTGTTACCAATAGCGTGCGTACGATGGTCTTGCGTGACCACCATTCATAGCACTCCACGATAAAGTTACTTTGGCTGCTCACGACTGCTCGCCTGTGAGCATTTAGTCAGTCCACACTGATTGCTCGTCCAGTGAACCACAGTGTGGTCATTGTGTACACCAACCAAGTAGACATTTTCTCGAGTAAATCATTTTAAATGGGAAGAGAAAATGTCTTGTGTAATTTACTCGCGTGACTCAAACAACATCATTTTCAGTTTAATTATTTTAGTAAAATAACTGTTCTTCAACTTCGTTCACTATCCTTAAACTAGCGCACATAAAACGTAATTTTGTTATTTACCACAGTTTTTCAATTTTTTCTTATCAAGTGTTAAAATTTCTGCTGTTAATATACTTTATTATTTTGTTACATATAAAAAGGTGAGAGTGTTAATCTTTCAATAAACCTAAGCAATTGGCTCCCACTCTTTTCCCTCCCAACCAATAAATCAAATCATACAGTCCACAATCATTGGGTTTTCAATCCCAAACATTTGTCCTTCGAGCTGGATCAAAAAGGTGAGTGGAGAGCTTCGGCTTATTATTAGCCACGTGCGAGTTATGAAGTCGGCCATCTTAACCAACTTCTTCTTCACGAGCGACGTGCGGACGCGGTCAGCGCGCCAGCGCGTTTGGCGTATTTTTCTCTCTCTCACACACTCTTGCATACAACGAAGCTTGGTACCTGTGGTAAAATCAGTGCTTTTTCTCATCGTACACGAACTCGAGTATATACTCGTTGGCTTCGTTGCGTAGCTTATTGCTACACTTTTCTCGTGCAATTTGTCACCATCTTTTTGTGCACAGGCCCTAGTACATACTCGCTGGCCATCTGGTTCTTCCTGCGTTGCGCAGACAGACTTATTTTTTTTGGTTTCGTGCACTGGTTCGAGTACTATTACTCGTTTGCCACCTTTGGAAAATAGCTATTAGTTTCATATAAAAGCTCAGCATATTTTAAGCTGTACTAGCTTGAGTACTATTACTCGTTTGCTACTTTGGTAAATAGCTTTTAGTTTCATATAAAAGCTCAGCTTATTTTTAGCTGTACTAGGTCGAGTACTATTCCTCATTTGCTACTTTGGTAAATAGATTTTAGCTACAAAGAAAACAATTGGCTTATATTTAGTCTTGGCCTTCGTAGCCATATATACATAGTGCTCTCTTGCACTCATAAGCACGTAGCTTGCACATAGTCGGCCATTGGTGACCTCGCTCTTTTAATTTCCTTTGTGTGCCGTACTTATAAACCTTCTTGCTCCACAGAATAACAAGGGCTTTATCGGCAGCGGGCTAACACTTACGCTGTGCTCGCCTGTCACCGCAGGGCATCATAGCACTAGAAAGTGCTTTTCATCACAGCTGCAGGCCACAATTGCCTGCAGGTTCAACGTAAACCATCGTTGTTATTGAGCCACTTTAATGTCCATTGCGTAGCTGATTGCCTGCGTCGTCTACGGCTACTCCTTCAACACCTTTTAAATTGCGATTTCTAGTAAATTTAAATAACTATTAATTAAAGATTTAATTTACAGATAAAAATTAGAAAATTTCAGTTTATTTAAGCTTTTGTGCAAGTATTAATTTACGTTAATTATATAACTATTCAATTTAGAGATTTTATGTACTATTTTATTATAACATTTATTTAAACAATTTGTACTATTCAGAGCTAGCTTGATTGTCACTGCCAGGTGTAGATAACGTTTGGTCACTATGGATGCATATTACTCAACGCAGCTTGGCCTTTATACCAAAATAAAGAATGCTTTCATTAATTTTAAAAAACTTAGCTCGGCCAAAATGACAAAGGGTCAAGCTGTGGCTCGACTACAACAAATCAAAGATGCGTTTGAGCAATTTAAAACGATTAATACTACTATTATAACTTTGGATCCTCTTGATAAACAACAAGACTATTTAAAAATTGGGGTGTTTGAGGGTGGTGGAGACCTTTTTTATTCGGCCGTTAGGGACTTTGAGGACTACCTGTTCTCGTTATCAACCGATAATTCAGCTCCTGTACCTCTCAACTTTGCCCCACCTTAAAATTCTGTGCAAAGTTATGCCTCGTTACCTTCTATTGATTTACCAGTTTTTAATGATAACCTTGATTGTTGGGAGAATTTAAGAGATATGTACAGAGCTTTGGTACAAAGGAAGCAGGATCCCCTAGGTATTATTGAGTACCAGCACCTACGTACTCATGTTACTGGTGATGCTTCAGATTTAATCAAAACAATTCCTCTTACTGAGGAAAACTACTTGCACGCTTGGGAGACCCTGCTTGCCTTCTACGACAACCAGCGTCGATTAGTGTCCTCATATACCAGCATTATTATCAGTGCCCAAACCATTATAAACTCTTCTTGCACTGAAATGAAGCGCATTTCTAAGGAGATGTTACGTTTCTTTGATTCTTTGTCAGCCATGGGAAGACACATGGGCGACAATGACATTTTCATTGCTCTCGTGACTAGCAAATTTGATTTCCACACCAATAAAGATTGGCAGAAGCATCTGGGGAGTAGTAGTCATGAGCCTACGCTAGGACAACTACGTGAATTCATAATAGCCCAAATTGTAATTTTAGAAGCTTCTGCTAGAAAAGACTTGATCAATCCGGACCAAAGGAGCAAACCTAATAAGTCAGTTGTAGTACATCAAACTGCAGCTCATTCTTCTGAAACAAATACACCTTATAAGTCAGTTGTAATGCATCAAACTGCAGCTCATTCTTCTGAAACCAATACACTAAAATGCTTGTTCTGTAATCAAACTCATAAGTTGTACCAATGTGACAGTTTCAAATCAAAGCCTTGGAATGAAAAAAAGAGTTTTGTTGAAAGCAAAAGAATTTGTCTTAATTGTTTTGGTAAACATAGTTCAAATAAGTGCACATTAAAATTTAATTGCTCAAAATGTCATCAAAGGCATAACACATTGATGCATAAAGATGATTTTGATTCTTACAAGAGCAAACCTAATAATGGAAAGAATAACGAGAATCCTGATCCTAAAAACAGGTCATGTCCTAATGTCGGTATTGCTTCTGAAGTGAACTTTCCCAGTTCTTTTTGCCACTGCATTGGTATACATTGTTAATTCTAATGGTTTGAGTCTCAAAGTGAGAGCATTAATTGACCAATGCTCACAATCATCTCTTGTATCCAAATCTCTGTATGACTTATTGAATTTCAAGGGTCGCAGTACCAATATCTCGTTGTCTGGTATAGGAGACCAAGCTGTAAATGTAAAACAGTCAGTTCAATTCAAAATTCAACCTCATTTTGAATCCAATTTTAGTTTGGAAGTTGAAGCTTTGGTAGTACCTTGGATCACTTCTTATGAACTTCCAGTTTGTCGTGAGGTGATAAACTTAAGCCATATAAAGGGTCTGCAATTGGCTGATCCC